ACACACACACACACACAAATTCCAGGTCTGTCTGCTGACCTTTATGATTATCTCCCCACTGGTGCTGGGGGGTTCTGGAAGCTGCCCCTCCTAGCCTGAAGCCTATTTTGGGGGCTCTTCAGGGACTTTGTGACTTTGCTTTGCTCCTATTGCTGATCTGTTATATTCCTTTCTTGCTCACCCCTCTGTGGGGTGTTCAGACTGGCCTATCTCCCTGCCGTGTGTCCCCAGTATTGTCCTCTGTCTCGGTGTGCTCCAGCGAGAGGACATCATGTCTTGAGCTGTTGTTGGCCTACAGTCCTCTCTGCACCTTATTTAGCAGTTCCGTACAGGGACGTTGTCCTCTGGGTGTGGTGTGTCGATATGTGGTCTACACCATCCCTTTCTTTTTCCTGCTTGGTTTGCTTCCATGTGGGTGTGGTATGCCAGCCCCTCTCCCCAACCTGTAGGTTTAGTGTTGTTCTCTGTGGCACATCTTTCTAGGGAGGGAGTCAGTTTGGCTCTGATTGGTTGTCACAATCTTTAAAAGCTCCCTGCAACTGTAATGGTGAGAGGCTTCAAGAAACAAAAACTTTTTATTTTCAGAATTTCACAATTTCCTTCACTTGTGTAGCTCTGACCCCATTTTCATGGCATTATAAAATCTTTTATAATCAACAGCATCCCTCATTTTTATTTAATTCGTATGTTGGAAATACTTTCCTGGCAAGTCTGTAGCTGACTGCCCTTCTCCCTGGAGTACTCATCACTGTTCTTTGTGGTTAGTACCCTGCACAGTCCTGGACAGGTCTCTACTTTACCAGACATTTCTGTTTTAGAAAGCGTGAGGTCCACATCTGCTGAATCAGAGGTGGTTACCTTCCAACAGCATGTGCTCCGCTGTCAGTTTGTCATCTAACACCCACCTGTCAGGAACACCCCTCCTGCCAATTGACCGCAAACCATGGAGAGATTGTTTACTTCGCGGGGGGAGGGAGTGCTAGACCTCATTGTGATGATGTATATACAACTTTTTTAAAGCAACTTAACTAGGGAAATGTATATGTGAATTTTATGTCAAGAAAACTGCTAAAACAAAAGTGAAACCAAAGTTGAACAATGGTTACTATGGGTGAAGGAGGCAGAGTTTTTGTTTAGGGGACATTGAGTTTATGTCAATGGTGGTGGAATTATGTTATCAATCATGGGTGTACAACATGGAGTATAATCAATGGCACTCAAGTATACATGTAGTTCTTGAATGGGAGAATGTATATATTTTGGCCACAAAATAATTGCACTAATGAGTACAAGAAGGAAATGTTCTAAAATTGATTGTGGCAACGATTGTACAACTCTTTTTGATAAAACTGAACTATTGAATTGTATGACATGTAGATGAAGAGGCAATGAAACTGTTTAAAAAAGAAAAAAACCAAGATGCTGCTAAGGCTGTGTTGCTTTATGAATAAAATAATAGATTTTTTAAAAGTTGGTGGGAAAATTCCATATTTTTAATTCAACATTTCCATGAACTATTTGAAGGCCCCTTGTATACTGGTGGTGGTTAGTACATGTTGGACGACTAGCCACAAGGTAGATGGTTTAAGCCCACCAGCTGCTACACGGGCAGGATGAGGCCACCTGTCCCTGTAGTTTGACATCTCAGAAACCCTATACATGAACTCAGTGGCAGTGTATACATGCAAGGCTGCCAGTTCTGAGATCCAAAGCTGGTCAGGGCTCTGCGGGTAGGGTAGCTGATATTATGGTGAAAGCAGACTTCGCACCGGATCGTATAAACTAGCAGACCCTGTCAGACCTATTGGGAGAGGGAAAAAATGTGGAAGAAGTTAATGCAAAAACACTATACACCGTCTTTTGCTGCTTATTTTATTAAGTAACAATGTATAAAAACTGGACAGGTCACATTACTGAAGAAAATAGCTTATTTTTTCAAATATATATTGGATTTTCCACCACTTTATTATTTCTTTAATAATTTTATCTTTTTCTTAAAAATATGTATTGAATACTTTTCATTCGTCCACCCTCTGCCCCCACAAAAACACACACAAATTAAAGACTAGGGTCTTTAATTTAGCAACCTTTAGCAATAAAGTCTACTTATGGAGAAAAATGCCAAGTCATATTATTCGTACCTGATTTGGTGCTGAGGGTGAACTGCTGGTTTTGGTTTATTACAAAAGCCACACACCAGTGCAAGCTTTAAACAAAGTGAACCCTTAGGGCCGCCTTGGCTGCCCGAGGAACCTCTGGAGGGGCTGACTTGGTTGCTCTCTCAGTGCAGTGTATACCCTGCTTAGGCATTTGTTTGGGGCAGCCACTCTTTTTTATGTAAACATGAGAATAACAAATGATTATCTCCAGCTCCTTTCTGACCAGTCTTTTGCTCACAGTTAACCATCTCTGTGATAGTAGGGGACTGAAAAGAAGACAAGGGCTGTGTTCACTGGGCACACGGGAGCAACAATGCCTGGAGCAACGGTGACTGCAGCAGACACGGGCACTTTGATCCTGGAGTTACTGTGGGTGGGGGAGCGGTTAATTTAGACTGAGCAGTCATTAGAGAACTCAATTCTGGATATAGACTGTGTTGGGCTATATCCTGTTATCAGTGAAATCACTGACTTTAATTTCATTTTCACATGTAGGG